GGCACATGTTGTCGGGCATGAATTTTCAGGATCGGGTGTCTTTGTGTGGGCAGCGGCTGAGGAAGTGGGGGGGCGACTATCATCGCACTTTTGGCGTAAGGACCAGAGCTTTACGGCGCACCCTTGCTGATTTGAAAGAAAATAGATCACCGCAAGCCGTAGCTAGATTTCTAGAAGCCGAGAGGGAACTGGAAGCTGTCCAAAGAGCGGGGGAGACATTTTGGAAGCAGCACTCAAAGCAGTTATGGCTTAAACAAGGTGATGCAAACACCAAGTATTTCCATAAGACAGCCTCGGCTCGGCGTAAGCAAAATTACCTTACCCGTGTGAAGGATCAGCATGGCATTTGGACTGAGGGGCTGGCAATGAATGCGAAAATCATAAGGTATTTTGAATTCATTTTTGGTTTGGAAATCTGCAGTATGAATCTATTTGATCGGGTTCGGGAACGAGTGACTACGGAGATGAAAATCTCTTTGTCACAACCGTTCACGATGTCGGATGTTAAAACTGCGCTGTTCGATATGAAACCAGAAAAGGCCCCGGGGCTGGATGCATGTCACCAGCCTTTCTTCAACTTTTTTGGCCGCTTTTGGGGCACGACTTATCTGTTTTTGTCATTAAATGTGTGGAACAAAAACAGTTCCCACTGGGGTTAAACAATTCCAATATTGTTTTAATCCCGAAGAAACCGGTCCCAGAAAAAGTAACGGATCTTCGCCCAATTGCACTTTGTAACGTAGGTTACAAGGTTCTAGCCAAAATGCTTGCCAATAGATTGAAGGGATGCCTAGCTCAGCTAATCTCCCAATCTCAAAGTGCTTTCGTGCCCGAACGCCTCCTCACGGATAACATTATTGTGGCCGGGGAAATAGGTCATTTCTTAAGAAGAACGACCGGGGGTTTACAGGGGTGGGCAGCGCTGATGCTAGACATGGCTAAGGCGTACGATAGGATGGAGTGGCGTTTTTTGGAGGGTATGCTGAGGCCGTTGGGTTTTGATAGGAACTGGGTGGAGTTGTTAATGGTTTGTGTCACGTCCGTGAAATATTCTATCTTGGTAAACGGGGAAATCGCGGGACAGGTTACTCCAACACGGGGGATCCGTTAGGGCGATCCGCTGTCCCCGTACCTTTTTATCATTTGTGTAGAAGGTTTCTCAACGCTTCTGCAACAGGCGGAATCACGAGGGGATATACATGGTGTGCGAGTGGCCCAGGGAGCCCCGACCATCTCTCACCTATTTTTTGCTAACGACAGCCTTTTGTTTTTCAGGCCATGAGAAAGGGAAGCGAAACATATAAAAAAATGTCTTGAAAGTTACAGTTCGGCCTCAGGACAATTGATAAATTTTGAAAAGTCCAGTGCAGTGTACAGCCATAATACTAGTTCACCGGTTCGGGCTTTGGTCTCTGAAATCATAGGGGTCCCCGAGGCAACAGATTTGGGGCGCTACTTGGGCCTTCCATCGGTGGTGGGACTGTAACACCCCGTGTTACGGCCCCTAAGACCAATTAATTAATTAATCAATAGCCCATGAGAAAGAATAAATTATAATGATTAAATGAGGAAAAAGGCCTACCATAGTCCGTGGGCCCTCATATCTAAACCCAACCCCTAATCCCAATAGAATTAGACTCTAAATAAGATCCCTAGATCTATAAATAGGGAACTTAGGAGACACCTAGAACCCCCCACAATAATCTCCCACCACCCAAAGAGTTCCAAGAATTCCCCTAGGAGAAATCAAGAAAACAAGAAAGCTTAAAGAAAGATCCTTCATAGCCAAGGAATTAATCAAGGCTAAGAGGTAACCCATGTCTCAACAAAACCTATTTTCATAGCTATGATTCCCCCTTAGGGTTTCCCCCATGATTTTGTGAATGGCGAGATTTTATGATTATTATTGATATTGATGTGATGATCCCATGCGGGATCTTGATAATCTTGATGTTGGGAGTTTCTTGATAATTATGATGTTCTTGACGATTAATTGGGATTCTTGATGATTATGTGTTGTTCTTGATAATTGTGTGATGTTCTTGATGCTTATGTGTTGTTCTTACCGAATCTTGCAATTAGAAGACGAATCGTATTCTTGTTGATATAAAAGTGATTAGAACCCTAGGTTGTATCGTATGATAGTATTCTTGGATTATCGAGTGGGGAAATCGCATGTTTGGGTGTTGATTATGTTTAGAAAAGCATGATAGGTTATGTGCCGTTAGTTTCTCGTATTTGATCCGTTAATTGGCTACATGTTGTCGTTAATTGCGTTGTAAAGTGTCTAAGCATGGTTTCGGGTTCCATAACGGTTCCCGGGGCGTATTTGATGAAAAAGAGTCAGTGGGGGGTAGGTGGGGGGGGGGTAGGGGACCCGCTACCTACCCGGCGCCGTGAACCACCTCCTGGCAGCGGGTGGCCGGCGGGCGGGCAGCTGCCCGCCGGCGACCCGCTGCCCGGAACAGTAATCCCGGCGGGCAGCCGGTGGGTGGTCCCCCACCCACCGGCTACCCGCTGGAAATTTATCCCACTTGGGACTTTGGCTTCCCCGTTTGATGTTTCCCCGGTCCCCGTGGTGTCCCAACGGACTCCGTTTATCGTGCCTATGTCTAGTTTGATGTTTCGGGTACCGTTCGTAGGTTTATGAGTCTATTGTATTGCATGCTAGTTGAATTTGTATCCCGTTGACCTAGGTGGAAGAAGTATGAACCCTTAGGACCATTCTTAGTATGTGATGGATCACGCATAGGTGTGTTATACGCTTTATTCCCCTTCCCAATGTGTAACGTGGGTTGCATGTGCTTGCTATGTGTTATGTGTGCGTGTTACCCCGATTCGGTTGCGATCGGATTGGTTATCCTGAGCTGCGGTTCAGAAGCTGGCTGCGGTCAGATTGATACTCTTGGGCTGCGGTCCACCGTTTGGTTGCGATCAAACGTTTCTATACGAGCTGCGGTTCGTCCTTTTTCCTGGCTGCGGTCAGATGACACTCTCTTGGGCTGCGGTCCACTGTTTGGTTGCGATCAAACACTATGATGAGCTGCGGTTCATCGGTCGGTTGCGATCGACCCCTCCATGTTGCGATACGGGGCAAGGTGCTGCGGGGCCGTGTCAGAGCTATATGCGCTGACCCTCATGTATGGGCATGCGATTGGTCCTGTGGCGCCAACAAAGTGTGCTATGTGTTGTGATATTGATGAGCTGTGATTATGAGTGTCTTGGGGGATGTGACTATGGGATTTATGTTGGGGATTGCTTATGTGGGGTTATGATTGTTGTTTTATGCTTTGCCGTTGCTGCTCTATCTGTTGTGAACTGCTGCTTGTGTCTGGCCTTATCTGTCGAGTCATTCCCGGTTTTAAAGCTAGAGTTTGTTGGATATATCTTCATGCTCAAAATGGCTTTCGTATATCTATATATATCTCTATATGTATTGTATTTCAACGCGTTGGAGTGGGTTACCAGCATCTCTCGCTGAACAGATATATTTGGCTTTTAGGCACAGAGGACTAGAGCACTGGAGCGCGCTAGAACTGGAGCGTAGATAGTTTTCCCTTTTGGCCTGCGTGCCATGTTTATGTATTGACATTATTAAGGATTTCAGTTAGTAGCCTGTGCACCTAAGTCCTCTGGCTTAGGTGTGGCATAGCACCCCGTACTTCTGTATTATATTTTGGGATTTATTGAGATTCTACCTTTATATTATAAGCTTTAAAAAGTCTTAAAAATCTGGGGTGTTACAGGGACGTAACAAAACAGCGGTGTTTCGGTGTGTCGAGGAGATGATATGGGCAAGAATGGGCATTTGGCAAAATAAACTACTATCTCGAGCAGGTAAAGAGGTACTTCTTAAGAGTATCGCTCAATCGCTGCCGATATTTACCATGTCTACCTTCTTATTGCCTATGCGCATTTGTGACTCTCTGGAAAAGATGTTTAACCGGTACTGGTGGGGTGGTGGAGGTACAGGTAATCGGGGCATACACTGGTTGAGCTGGGATAGATTGTGTGCTCCTAAGTCGAAAGGCGGACTAGGGTTCAGGAAGCTACATGAGTTTAATACTGCGCTATTGGCCAAACAAGGGTGGCGTTTGTTAATATATCCTGATTCGCTAGTGAGCCGCTTACTCAAGGGAAAATACTATCCGAAATCAGATTTTATAGGCGCACAAGTCGGGGCTAATCCAAGCTTCATATGGCGTAGTATTATGGCGGGGCAGTGAGTGCTAAAATTGGGAGTGGCTCGGCGGCTGGGGGATGGACGGGATACGAAAGTGTAGGGCTGGAATTGGCTCGCGGGCCCTTCGATGGACGGTCTAAGTACGTCGTGTGTGGAAGAACTGCGTGAGGCGAGAGTACATAATCTTCTTGATGATACGGGCCACTGGGATAGGGACATCATTCGGGATGTCTTTAATGAGGTGGACGTAGGACGGATTCTGGCAACACCAGTGAGTGGTCACTTCCGGGACAGCTGGAGATGGATCGGCGACATCCGGGGACGTTACACTGTAAAACATGGATATCGGCTGCTTAGGGGAGAGGATATCACGCAGGGGGAGTTTGGTGGGTTTACTGCATGGAGAGCGTTATGGGCGATGCGAGTCCCACCAAAAGTTAAAAACTTTATGTGGCGGTGCGCTCGCAATGTTCTACCGGTTCGTGAAAATTTGCGAGCTAAGAGGGTATGGATAGGTGGGGGTTGCCCGATGTGCGGTCATGTGTCCGAAACGATGGAACATCTCTTTTGTGACTGCGTTTTTGCAAAAGGGGTGTGGGGTGCTGTGAACATTAATCAAGGGAAAGACATCATCAGTTTTTTAAACCTCTCGCTGGGTAGTGGAAATGAGGAGGAAGTGGTGCGTCTTGCTGCTGCCTTCTGGACAATTTGGCTGTGGTGAAATGATGATGTGTGGAACAACAAAGTCTTGGATGTGGTGAGCGCTTGCGACCAAATGCTGCGGCTATGTCTTGGCTGGAAAGAGGCTTACGACACTATGGAGCATCCGGCACACCAGGCTGCTATGTGGACGCCACCTCCGCGGCATACACTCAAATGTAACGTAGATGCGGCATCTTCCATCGAAGGAGCCAGCTATGGCGCTGTGGTCCGGGACCATGCCGGTGATTTTGTAGCGGCGAAAAGCGGACGCATCGAGGGGATCGTTGACCCATACATGGCTGAAGCGATCGGTGTCAGAGAAATGTTGTCGTGGCTTAAAGAGCAACACCACAGGAGTATAATTATTGAGTCTGACTGTTTAAGTTTCTGTAATGCTTTTAATTCTAGATCTTTTGATTTGTCCTATGTTGGTTTGATAGTTAAGCAATGTGTGTTGATTGCTAGGGACATTGGGGATGTTAGCATTACCCATGTCAGGAGGTCAGCGAACTGCGTGGCTCATGAGCTAGCTCGGGCAACCGGTTCTACAGCATATCTCACCAAGTTGTATTGCTCGTTTTTTCACTCAGTAATGAAGTTCTTTCTATTTGCTTCAAAAAATTAGATTAGGATTAATTAATTATTCCATAAATAGAATTTGGATTACAGGGTGTCACATCCTATCCCCCTTAAAATAATCTTCGTCCCCGAAGCTTGGGTACGACGAATCAAAACAAACGGTGAAACGAAACAACATTGTGACAAGAGTGTCAAGAACATCCTTTTGGTCAAAACTTAGAGAATTCAAAAGATACCAAAATAAGCAAGAAATCATATCATTGCAAGGATTGAAAGAATTAACCAACGGAAATATTGAGCATATCAAACTCTAAACCAAACACAACCACCAACTTCTAATCAACACTCAAGATCTAAACAACTAGCTCCTAGCACAAGCCACAAAACTAACTACTCAACAAAACTAGCAAACAAAAACAAACGCACAAAGCAAACAAGCAACTAGCAAATAGTAGCAACAACTAAAAAGATAACAACAAGCTAAGGAAAGGTAGACGGGATTACCACAACACCGCGCTGGAATGACTCGCTCTCCGATTCTTCGGTGTCTTCCTCGGACTCCTCGTCATCATCTCCCCTTCGACTCGAACTGGCCTCTATCTGATCTAACCTCTGATGCACTGCCACGAACTGCGTCTTCATAAAAGCAAAGCCTTCTTCGATCATCCGGTTTTGTTGGCGTAGCAAGGTGACCACACGCTCCTCGTGCGTCATAGCCTCGTACTCTCTCTTGGTTCGGGCTTCTCTTCTCTTCCAGTTTTCTTCACTTCCCGGATCACTTTCCTCAACATCGGCAGCTCCTCCCGCTTCCGCTTCCTCTTCATGACCTTCTTCTTCATCATCCCCCACATCACCTCCCAAGTTCTGGACCGCGAGGTTCAACTTTCCGACAGGAATCTCGAGCTCTGCAACCAACTCATCTCTTTCCTCGGGGGTTTTCCTAGCAACTTCTTCAAGAGTGATGTAATCACCGTCATCCAACTGAAACAAGTTGCAACTTCGCAGATTGATGGCATCCAACACCATATTTCCTATGGGCTTCGGCATACAACCATCAACGCTCACGCCCTTCTTGACAAAGATCCAACTCAACACTATACCGTAAGGTAGGCTCTTCCGGTTGTGGTCACGGCAAAAGACCATGTGTTGCAACATCAAGGCAGGCAGATTAAACTTTACCATGTCCTTCAGACAAAAAGCAAAGGTACACTCCAACTTTCCAAACAACCGACTTTTGTTGTTATTGGGCAACAAACAATCCGATACCAGCATCACCAAAATCCTTTGCTCGGTAGACAACCACTTCTTCTCCGGTCTTGAGGCCTGCGTGAAACCACTCGTGCGACCCAACAAGTAACTCAAATAGTCCCGGTACCCCATGGTATCCGTACTAATCCAAGAGTTACCACTGTACTGTGAAACTCCCGAAGCTGATAAACTTAAAAGCTGGGCTAACCTCTTTTCAGACAAAACCACTTTCACACCCCTCACCTTAGAGATGATTTCAAGCTTTCCTTCATCCTTCGCCACAACCACGTTGTAACACCCCAGATTTTCAAGACATTCAAAACTTATATAATAAAGGTAATATCTCATTAAATCCCAAAGCGTAACATAAGTGTACGGGGTGCTATGCCACACCCGGGCTAGAGAAACCAGGTGCACAGGCTGTCTAACTACTATTCTCCGAAATATAAATGCATAACATGGAACGCAGGCCGAAAGGGAAACTACACTACTTCTACGCTCCAGTTCTAGCGCGCTACAGTGCTCTAATCCTCTGTGCCTGAAAGCCAAATATATCTGTTCAGCGAGAGATGCTGGTAACCCACTCCAACGCGTTGAAATACAATACATATAGCAATATATATAGATATACGAAAACCATTTTGAGCATGAAGGTATATCCTACGAACTCTAGCTTTAAAACCGGGAATGACTCGACAGGTAATGCCAGACACAGCAACAGTTATAACAGTTAAAAGCAGTTCATTATAGATAAGGCAATTAAGACAAGGCATAAGCAGTAATCATAACCCATCATAAACAATCCCCAATATGAGACCCATAGTCACATCCCAAGGCACTCATAGTCACAACTCGTCCATATCACACACATAACGCACATTGTTAGCGCCACGGGACCGATCGCATGCCCATACATGAGGGTCAGCGCATATAGCTCTGACACAGCCCCGCAGCACCATGCCCCGTATCGCAACACGTGGAGGTCGATCGCAACCGACTGATGAACCGCAGCTCATCATAATGTTTGATCGCAACCAAACAGTGGACCGCAGCCCAAGAGAGTGTCAACTGACTGCAGCCAGGATAAAGGACGCAGCTCGTATAGAAACGTTTGATCGCAACCAAACGGTGGACCGCAGCCCAAGAGAATGTCATCTGACCGCAGCTAGGGATACCAATCTGACCGCAGCCAACTTCTGAACCGCAGCTCAGGATAACCAATCCGATCGCAACCGTATTGGGGTAGAACACACACATAACACATAGCAAGCACATGCAACCCACGTTACACATTGGGGAGGGGGATAAAGCGTATAACAAACCTATGCATGATCCATCACATACTAAGAATAGTCCTAAGGGGTTCATACTTCCTTCACCTAGGTCAACGGGATACCAATTCATCTAGCATGCGATATAACAGACTCATAGACCTACGAACGGTACCCGAAACATCAAACTAGACATAGGCACGACAAACGGGGTCCGTTGGGACACCACGGGGATCGGGGAAACATCAAACGGGGAAGCCGGGATCCCGAATGGGGTAATTTCCAGCGGGTAGCCGGTGGGTGGGGGTCCACCCGCCGGCTGTCACTGTTCCGGGCAGCGGGTGCCCAGCGGGCAGCTGCCCGCTGCCGGAGCTACCCGAGATTGCCGCGGGTAGGTGGCGGGTCCCCTACCCCCACCTACCCCCACTGACTCTTTTCATCACTTTTCGCCCCGGAACCGTTGTGGAACCCAAAACCGTGCTTAGACACTTTTCAACGTAATTAACGACAACACATAGACAATTAACGGACCAAATACGATAGGCGAACGGCACATAACCTAACATGCTTTTCTAATCATAATCAACACCCAAACATGCGATTTACCACCCGCTAATCCAAGAATCAAAGCATACGGTACAACCTAGGGTTCTAATCACTTTTATATCAACAAGAACACGATTCGTCTTCTAATTGCAAGATTCGGTAGGAACAACACATAATTATCAAGGATACCAATTAATCATCAAGAACAACACATAATCATCAAGAATCCCAATTAATCATCAAGAAACTCCCAATATCAAGATTATCAAGATTCCCCATGGAATCATTAAATCAACATCAATAATAATCATAGTAATTCGCCATTTACAATCATATGGGGGAAAACCCTAAGGGGAAATCATAGCTATGAAAATAGGTTTTGTTGAGACATGGGTTACCTCTTAGCCTTAATTAAATTCCTTGGCTATGAAGGATCTTTCTTTAAGCTTTCTTGATTTCTTGATTTCTCCTAGGGGAATTCTTGGAGCTCCTTGGGTGGTGGGAGATTATCGTGGTGGGGCTTCTAAATGCCTTCTAAGTTCCCTATTTATATGCTATGGGGTTTAATCCTCCTAGGATTAGGTATTGGGCTTTAGGGATGGGGGTCCACGGACTATGGTGGGCCTTTATCCCAACTTAATCATAATAACTTATTCTTTCCCATGGGTTATAGATTAATTAATTAAGTGGTCTTAAGGGGCCGTAACACGGGGTGTTACACTCCCCCCCCCCCTTACAAGGGGCTTCGTCCTCGAAGCCCGGTGTCATAGTCCACCCTTTCACCCCTAGACATCTCGTAGCTCGGCCTCCTGGGTAGGAATGTGGCCCTACGTTTGTCTTGGTTCGGGGTAGGCTGTACTTTTGGTGGCGTTGTGATAGAGAAGTTCAGGGTGTACCTCGGTTTCCTGCGCTGGAACTGGACGCTCCACGAGTGCCCAAGGCGGCCTCGATTGCTGCCACCCTCTGATCGAGTGCGCGTGTGGTGGGAATCAAGGATGAGAACCCTTCTTCCATGATTTGGTTTTGCCGATTGAGCTGTGCGAGAATGCGCTCATTGACTGAGCCCTCGTTTTGACCCCTCGGGTCCCTTCCTGATCGTGGTTGCACTGACGGGTTAGGCCCGTCATCCTCCTCCTGCTCCTCGTTTCCCTCCGAGCCCCCACAATCCTGTAAGGCTCGCTTGAGCTTCTTGTTGGAGATGTCCAACCGGTCAACCAATTCTCTTCGTTCTTCCTCGGGTTTTTGGCAAATTTCTTCGAGGGTGAGGTAATGTCCTCCATCGGTGTAGTAGATGTCGTTGCGGCGAAGGTTTTGGGCATTGAAAACCATACCATTGGGGGTTTTGACCTCGGTGTGGCTTAGATCCACCCCCTTTTTCTCCAGGATCCAGCTTAGGATCATCCCGTAGGTTAGGCTAAGCCGGTTGTTCGTTTTACAGAATTCCATATGCTTTAGCATGAGTGCCGGCAGGTTGAACTTGATTTTGTGTTTTAGGAGATACGCAAAGGTGCACTCCAAACTCCCTACGTCCTTGCTCTTGTTATTGGTGGGCAAGAGGCTATCGGTTACAATCATAACCAATATCTTTTGCTCCGACGATAACCATTTTCGGTTTGGTCGAGTGGCCGAGGTGAACCCGTCCTCTTTCCCGAGCAAGTATCCGAGGTAGTCCTTGTACCCCGTAGTTTGGGTGTCAATCCACCCCTTTCGGTCATAGCTGGACACACCCGTGGTGGTCAATTTCAAGAGTTTGGCCAACCGGCCTTCGGAAAGCACAATTTCCTTGCCACGGACCTTGGTGGCAATTTCTATCTTGTCACCCCCGTTTGGTGGCCACGAGGTGTTGGTAGAACTCTTTTACCAAGTCGGGGTATGTGTCCCCCTTGATGGTGAGGTAAGTATCTAAAAGCCCTTGATGTTTAAGCATGTCAACCAATTCCGGAGAGAATTGGTCGGGTTCGAGTGCTTTACCTCCGATTAC